CAAACCTTCTGTAAATCCCTGCAACTGGACCCTTGCCTCAGGCTCTGCTCCCGCGGAACATGATCTAATACAGGGAGGGAAGTTTTTTTTTTATTATTTTTTTATTTTTTTATTCAAATCCTTTTTATTAGTAATAAATGAATATGAAATAATAAAAAGTTTACATATAGGGGCCAGCAGGTGGCCTGGTGGTTAAGACACTAGATTCCCATATGGCTGACCCCAGTTTGAGTCCCGAACCTGGAGGCTTACTTTCTCACCCTTTCTCTCTCTCTCTTATAAGTGCATGTGGCCTATAGCAAATTAAATTAAAAATGAATAATTACATAAAAAAGTCACACCCAGCATGTGTGCGTGCATACCCAAAATCTATATAGTAGCATGTACACACACACACACACACACACACACACACACACACACACACACGTACCCCTGGAGGGTGTGATTTCTCACTTTCTCTTTTTGTCTCTCTATGGGGAACACATGTGCCCTATGGCAAAACAAACAAAACAAAACAAAAAAACTTTGCATACATCTATAGAAATCATTTCTACCTTAAGATTCCAAAATTGTAATTTGTTTTGTTGGAGAATGCTAATGCTGTTATTGTTTTGTTTTGTTAGGTTTTTTGCTAGAAGGAACGTGCAGTTGCCCAGAAGAGAGAGAGGGAGAGAAAGTGAAAAATCACTTTCCAGAGGGAATGGTCACACCACAATCCTTTTTCCTCCATTCTCCTCTCGGGGTTTTGGGCAGGCACACACGCACACACTCAATGTGTTTTTTACGCCTCCAGGTCTGGAGCCAGGACCACAGAGAATGCCATGTGGGATCCAGTGCCATGGTGGTTCACACCATGCCACCTGCTGGCCCATCTTTTATTTGTCGTTGGTGGTGGTTTTAGTACAGCTTTAGATTTACAGAATACCTGAGCAAATAGTGTATAAAGTTCCGTACTGCCCCCACCCCGTCGTCTCTCCATCCCCTGCACGATGTTTCTTCCGCTGGTGTGGTCATCTGTTGCATGTAGTGAGTCGTATTGGTACATTATTATTAAGCAAAGTCCATAGTTGCCATTAGGGTTCCCTCTGTGTAGAACTGTCTGTGGATTTTGACAAATGCATAATGACATGTCTGCATCACAACACATTATGCAGAGTACTTTCATCGCCCCGTGCTATTCGGAGCGAGGCATTCTAGCTAGCCTTTGCAGAGGGCTGGGAGTTCTGATGAGCAGGGGAGGAGAGCAAAAGGCTCAGGAAGGCAGACCCAGCCTTGGAGGTCAAGTCCGCCATGTTGGACTCTCCAGATTAGTTCATACCAGAAATAGCTCAAGCTTTCCTATGTTGGGGGAGGCACAGGAAGAGGTGGAAGGCCACTCACCTGTCCTTTCTCTCCCTCCCTTCCCCCCAATGCCACACTGCATCGGCTTTCAGCTGCTCTTGCCTTCACCTCAGACATTCATGCTACCCTCAGTGGTTGGTGACATGAGCCCATTAGGGACTTCTGTTAGCATCAGGCATGGCTTGAGTTACACTTTGTCACCTGGGACAAGGCTCCCAAAAGCTGGACTCTTACCCCAGTAGCATCCAGAAGGCCATCCTGTGGTTTGTGATGCTCAGCCTTGGCTGACCCCCAAGAGGGGCCACGCGTTGCCTGTTGCGGAGGGCTACAGCCTTAATGGCAGCCACAGGGAGGTGGCCCCTTCTAGCCCCGAAGGGTGAGAACAAGGCTCTGGGCCTGCTGAGGAGGTACGCAGGAAGCAGGCTGACCGGTCCTCTGTTCCCTTCTTTTTTTAAGTAATGGTTTAAAGCAGTGCATTTCAAAGTACCTTTGATGAAAGACCAGTTTTTAAATGTTTTAAAATGTTCAATCCATCATGAACTAATCATTTTGTAAGATACGATGAAAATGAGTTATTAGAAAAATGTAATAAAAAACAGATGTACAGAACACAAGCTCGATTTTTAAATTTTTAGATATAACAGACATAAAAATGATCATGTCTCTTTCCCGTCGGGCTCCTAAATGCTTATTTTCAATTTCGTATCACAGACTAGTAAAAACCAGAGGGCATACTGCAACCAGTCTGGCCACCACACTTTGAGCAGTGGGTTTAAAGCTTGTACTGCAGGGTCTGACAGACCTGAGTTCAAATCCCGCCTCTGCTGCCTGCTTGCTGAGTGTCAAGCACTGTAGCCTCTCTGGGCCTCCATTTCCTCGTCTGTAACAGGGAGGATAGCGGCTCATTGTGAGGAAAATGCAGGGAAGCTCCCTGGGCCCTGGGCGTGCTGCCCGGCACAGCTCCCTCCCAGCTCACAGTGCTGGGTGGCTGTGGGAAGAGGAGCTGCCTCTAAGGGAGATAAATCTGAACTCAGAACCAGAAAGAGAGCCAAGGACCCCTGATGTGAGAGAGGCCCATGTAAAGGGCTCAAGGAGGGGAAGGAAACTGGACTGGCTGGGTCTTGGAGCAGGGGATGAATCAATAGGGTGGGAAAAAAGAGTTAGCTGCTGTAGGAGAGCAACCAGCTCAGTGAGGGGAGAGCAGGCTTGGGAAAGACTAAAAACACAGTATGGAGTCCCACCAGCTCAAGGGCTCAGAAGGGCCTGGGTTGTAAGGGGTTCAGAGAACCATGGAGGTGGGAAGAGAGTGACCTGACCCCAGCCTGAGGGAAGAAAATCACCCAGGCATGGTAGCGAGGAGGGACGAGGGATGGGCCGGGGCCCCTGGGGTACTATTGCTCAAGGCGGGACAGGTCAGGTGTGGGTTCAGTGGCCGAGGGGCTGACACTCAGCAGAAGAGCCAGCACAGCAGAGATGGACTGTGGCCCCCCACAGCCCCTCGGGAGCCTCTGGCCACCGTTCACCTCGCATCCCAGCCATCTTCCGGGCTCCCTGACAGCAGAGAAAATTCATAGCCATTGATTTTGTAATTAACAGTTTATCAATGCCATCGATACAGACTCGCTGATGGATTGCAAAGAAATTAATCTTGCAATGTTATTTTATTTCATTTTTTGTCGAAGGCGGCTGTCAATTGTGGCCTCCCTGGGGAGGATGAGGGAGGTGAGAGGATGAGGAGCGGGAGCTGATGGGAGTCGGGGAGTCTGGTGGTGGGCCAGCACATTTAGGGTGCACGCCCTGTAGGTGACTGAGTGGAGGAGGGGGCCGTTGCTGCTTCTCCTTAGCTGGCCAAGGAGTCCTCCCTGCCTTGGTAAACGGAACAGGGAAATGTGGAGGGGAGGCAGGTATGGCCCAGCCTGAGTCCCCAGGGTAAGGAGGAGGCTAGCTAACATTGGTTACGCGCTTGCTGAGAGCTTGGTATTGTGCCATTTTACTTAACCCTCACCACAATCCTATGAGTATGAATTCTTCTTTGCTTCATTGTTCACATGAGAAAACAATCCCAGAGAGGCTATGTAACTTGACCAAAGTCACACAGTGCCTAAGATCCCAAAGTCTTCTTCACTCTGCTGCTCCCCACCCACTGGAAAGGCAGGACTCTGGAAAGTATGAGCCGAGTGTGGACCCACTGGGTTAGAGGGTGTCACTGGGGGTCAACAGGGCCACATAGCTGCCTTTCGGAGTCTGGTATCTAAACCAGCCCAGTCTGTGAAGGAAT